TATTGTGTTTCCTATTATTTTCCTGCAGTAATATCGTGTGACATAAAAAATCTGAACTACAGCTATTTTATTCTCTAGGGTATCTGCTTTCAGAAAATATACAATATTTGGGGGGGGTTGCGTAATCTTCAGGCCTAAAATGATTTTTTATACGTGTGTGCAAAAAAATGCAAAAACTGCTCTGGCAGCAAAAGAGTTAAACGATGCCTTTTTTTTCTTTGACAAGTTCTATAACTCTAGACCACAATAGAGCACGAAGGTGTAGTTTATGTGGCTAAATGTCCTTGCCCTTATTTGTATGTTGGAAAAACGATCTGCCAATTTAGAAGCAGGTACTGGAACATGTGAATGACAGCATTTTGAAGAAAGACAGACCAATAGCCAGGCATATCTGGGAAAAACATAATGGTAAATCAGAATATCTATCTTTTTGGGCAGTGCAACAAGCCAAATTAGTTGACATTGATGTGTTGACATATGTTTGAATGCTTCTTTGTGTATATATGTTTTGTGTATATATATATATACTGTATATGTGGTTACCTGATATTGTGGTTGAGATATGGCAGAATATGTGGTAATTGGTATGCTTCTAATATATCCATGTTGCATATTAGTGCAAATAGGACCATTTGTATATGTGATACAGATATAGCTGATATTTGGGATATGGACTCTATAAGGATATCTCATTGTACTTTATATTTCCTGATTATAGCACATCTGTATTGGATATACACATTGAGTTTTGATAAATTATGTCAAGTGTCATTGATAGACGACTCTGCTCGTGGCATAGGAAATATGAAGGAAGAGCATGGGTTTGAATATCTGTGTTAAATATACAATAACCTTCCCCTTTATGGGATCGCATAGTTATATGTGTGTACATGTTCATCCTGGTCAGTATGAGAAGGCAGAGTATTCTATTTAGGTGCTTGGTGGTTTTCTCCTTCTCCACAAAGATCGCGCTGTTGTGCAGTATAGCACATGCACGACGTCAGTGCCTGATGACATCATGATGCACGGACCTAGCATGATGACTCAATCACATCAATGGACACGGTGGCCATTTTGGTCCCTGGATATTATATATAGAAGACCTACACATGCCAGCCATTTTTTGAACCATGTGTTTTTTTGCTTGTTCACACTGTTGGGTGCACAGTTAGATTATGATTTATAACTCCCGATGAAGCTCCATCATAGGAGCGAAACATGTTGAGTTTGATTCATCTTTGTTTTGTTTTTGTTTTTTTTGAGCACCTATTTTAGCACTTATTTTTGAATTATATATGGAATAGAGGATTGGGATCAAACAATTGTACCTAGATCCTGGATGTTAATAGGGATAATATAATTGCATTTTGATGCTAATTTATGCATGGTCAATTTTGGAATGAGACAATATTAGCTATATGTATGGGTGGCTTACAGGTTTCAGCATTTAGAGCTAGAAGACCATTCCCCTTTCCCTATTAGCAATAGACTGGTAGTATGAGTCTTTAGTAGGGACATGTTACCTGTTCCAATTGTGACAGACTTAAATGCATTAGTTAAAGGTGACCATATCCATTGCTTTGTATTGGCTGTAAATTATTTCTATCAGATTATACACATGCCAAACACAATGTGGAAGGTCAATATATATATTAAAAGGCATTATTAGCAACTGGTGGGAAAATCATTTATTTCCCACAGATGTACTTTACACCAGGTTGGAGATATCAATATACTTGTTCTCCTTCTCCATGTTGGTGTCCATTGCATTTAGCATAAGATTGTCTTTTCATCTTGTATAAGATTTGTGGGAATTTTTTTTATTCCCTATAGATGCATTTTAAATCAGTCTTGAGTTATTGACATACATGCTCTCCTTTCGCAGATGTTTATAACATTTAGGAGAAGATAGCTTTTCTTTCTCTGATAAGATTTGGAGGAAAAATAGCAATGTTGGTTTGACCTCTATCTTTAGCAAAATTGACACATATAGGATCCTTTTTTGTTTACAAAAATCCTAACTATAGATTAGATAATATGTCTTTTCCACTGGCCCTTTGTGCGTGGGTATACCCCCATTCTTAAATGAGGGACAGTTGGGAACTATGCATGGATTCTGCTGAAGGATGGGATGAGAGGCATAACCCGTGGGCCCTTTACACCCTTTATGAAGACAGAAATGTATAGCCATCTATCTATCTATCTATCTATCTATCTATCTATCTATCTTATTTTTTTTTTTTTTAGTTCAGCTTTAGGCAAACAGCTAAATACACAGTTATATGTATATGGGGAGTCCTCTGTTTATGGCAGTTTCTCTGCTGCAGTTAGGCAACACAGTTAGGTAATCACCCTGTCTCCAGTTGATAGTGAGTGATATTAGTAAAGGAGAAGCAATAGACTGATGAGGTGATCTTTCTGCTCTCTCCTCCTGTCAACACGTTAGTTATTGATAAAGGTGAATGTGGGACACCTGTCCAGGAGGATTACAAAATACCTAAATCAAGTCAAATTCAATCACTTATACTAGTTTTATAGGAACTCGTGCACATGTCTGATTAGGTCCTTACACTGCCTAAGTCAGCGTTTGGCAGGTATGTTCAGATGTTTCCAATCTGCCGCAGACAGGAAGCCTGTACAATTACAGGCTGACACTGACCATGACTGTCTGCGAGGGTTGGTATATAATTGTACATGGCGCAATAACCTGGGGCTAGTGATGGATGTGCGCTTCTGAAAGCAGCCAGTTTGTGTCCAATGGTGCACACCCATCCCTAACCGCACGTAATCTCTCCATGTATGATTTTTTTTTTAACAGATGAATAAGTGCTTTCATTTTTTTAATATCTGACTGGAGTTCAGGTTTAAGGAAAGACATGTAATATTAAACCATGGAATAGGCTGGCTCTAGTATTGACAAACAGAAGAGGAAAGCTCTATACAGATAACTGCATCAGGCTCCCCGACATGTTAGTCTAACATATTGTATGCATTGTGGCATATGGATATGATTATCATGAGAATTGTCACTGGTTGCAGTTTCTTTATTATGCGGGACACATTGTCACATGATCAAATTTAACATTTTTAAAGGCTTTTCAGTATAACTTGAAGCTAACATTTATCCATGTAAACATAGTTATGATATAAAAATAAAAATAGTTCTAATATAAAATAAAAGTTTTACACCAAGTTAGGGTTTGTTGGAAATTACTTCTACAGTAATGCTGTAAGTACTTTGATGTCTAATATGCTCTAAAATGGAAGAAGGCCTTGGAGTGATGACCACATTTTACTCTACAATTTTTAAAATAAACATTCGGAATGAGACTGTTCCAGAGAACTACAGAGGCTGCATAAAGTAGGATGTTTATTACAGATGCCAACATTTTCTAATAATTTCCAGAGAAGCTCTGCTTCTCAGTGAACATTTCAAAGTATATGCACATCACAGCAGAACCTGATTCATGAATACAGAAGCTGCATTAGCTTCACCAGCAAGTCCACTTGTGTTAGGGCCAGGAGGAAACTTCAGGTTCACTGTACATATGACAGAGTTTCCTATCTATTTATATTTACTTTTACAAAATTGTATGATCTAGTTCAGGGGTCTCCAAAATTTTCTATATGAAGGCCACATTGTATATTTTACAAATATTTTTGGGCAGAAACAAAATCAGTTTTATAAATGAATGAATGAAGTTGAAATTAATATATTTTACCTTGAACTTTTTTCGTAATCAACATGATATGATTTAGAACAAGAGTAAGAACTTGAGTAAAACAAAGCAAAGAAATTTCAAATAAACTTTATAGCATTAGAATGCTCCCTTATGATGGGGACTCTCACGTAAGGGTAACTCTGATCAGGACCTGGATATAAGGGGGGCTCTGATGGGGGCTCTCATGTAAGGGGGTCTCTGATGTAAGGGGGACAACATGATTGGTCATTAGGATGATGGCAGTCTTAACAACCGATGACAGTACAATGACAGCACAGATAGGGGAACCTGTGCTGGAGAATGGAAGGGAGGAGAGTTGTGGTTGTTGTGAATTAATTGAGACTATAGACTGACCTAAAGGACCTCTTTGAGACCTTGTGTGAGAGGCCACTAACCCTAGCTGCGGACCAGATAGAGTTTTGCAGCTGGATTTGGCTCATGGGCCATAGTTTAGGGACCCCTAATCTAGTTGAATGCAATGATATCATAGCACTGAATGTAATGAAGTAATTGTTACAACCAATCAGAATTCGTGTTTGATTCTTCCATAAAGTTGAAACCTGATTGTTATTGCTATTGTCAACGGCTTTTCTCTTGTTTTAACACATCAACCTCACAATTTTCATTTGCCTTTCCAAAAAATTTCTGTAATGGAGTGTATTTAGAAAGTGAATCTGACATTCAGCAAACATTCGCTGCAGGTGAATCAATCACTCTAATTTCAATTACATGCACCAGCAAGATACATCTGTGCGCCTAACACACACTTTTTAATGCTCATTATATAGTAGATTAATGTGTTGCATTAAGGCAGCCCATTAATTTAAGTGTGCTCTTTAAAGACATAACACACCAAAAAGTGCACTTTCGGCAGCACGGTGCACTGTAATGCACAGTAATGTGTTACCCCCACTTTGAAGTTTGCTACTACATAGGTGCACTGGAATGGTGTGTTGGGGTGCCATTCAGCATACGTTGCACCACATCACACCAACAAGCATACCTATTGCAGTAACATGCGCATGTTACTGCAGTGCACTGATGAATAGACCGTAAAATGGGAAAGGCTTACACTGCTTCTGAACTACCAAAAATGTTTGTGTTAAAAGTGATACATTTTAATTTCCTTACAGATACAGTCACTTTACTGTTTTGCTGTGTAATATAGGATGGCCCATGAAACGTCGTTGATGGTTGGGTTATTTGGTGACATGGAATGTAATTATTTTCTGTCAGAATTACTGTGTTAGTGAAGTCTTCCTTTTGTTCTTTCCATAGACCTGCCTGGAGCTGGAACGGTATTTACAGACCGAACCAAAGAAGATATCAGAAGCATTTGGGGAGGATTTAGACTGTTTCTTAAACAGCTCCATTCCTCAAGGTACAGATGGTTGTTCCCGTAAACTAGATCCAATTATAATTCCTGTGGACATCAGCACATACGAGAAGCGCCCTAGTATAGATATTTTACTATCACAAGACAAACTTTTGTCAGAGACCTGTGTAAGCCTACAGCCTGCAAGCTCCTCTACAGAGTGTTACACATCAGTAAACCAGGCACAGCTTAATGCCGTTACATCCCTAACACCACCATCTTCCCCAGAACTCAGCCGGCACCTTGTCAAAACCCCACAGTCCCTCACTGCTTTGGATGGAACTGTGACATTAAAACTGGTTGCAAAAAAGGCATCTTTGAGCTCTGGAAAGGCCATGGAATCCTCGTCAACTGCCATTACATCAAAATGTGGGCTAAGTGACAATGAACAGTCGGGAAATGCAGGAGAAGCCTCACCTGAAAATAAGAAGAGAGTTCACCGGTGCCAGTTTAATGGCTGCAGGAAGGTCTACACGAAGAGTTCTCACTTAAAGGCCCACCAGAGGACGCATACAGGTATACATGTTCCCTTAAAATGTATCTTAAGCTATTTATTTTTTCTCATTCTGGATAAATTGGGGAAGGGTTAAAACCTCTGCTAGTTTTTTATTGCTGTCTGTGTCTCTGTTTTGGAGTTTCACCCTCTTTATTGGTCCTGATAACTAGGGATGAGCTTGGATTCGGTCCAAACTCCAAAGCTAGCATTGTTAGCTGCAGAAGAGACATTCTCATCCAGCAGTTGCATGTTTAGAGGTGAGGATGCTCCTGACATTAGCCTAATATTTCCCTATGGCCCAGCAATTATTGCTAACTTGGATTAACTTGGGTTCAGGCTTAACCCAAGCCTGAACCCAAGCTTATTAATACTGATGAACACTGTCACCAGGACTCAAAGTGAGAAAAGATCCAACATTCATTGTCACTGGAACATGAATAATCTTCCAAATGTAATCTTCCAAAAAAGACATTTGTTTCAGTAACAACTATCAAAAATGTAAAAAATGGCTTTAGATACAGGTTAATGTTTTCTTGTGGCCTCTGTGTAATAGCACAGTTGTTATATATTGGCTGGAAGGATGGATGTTTGCTCAAAAGGTATCTATCATGTTTTGGACTCATTTAGTCTGCACAGTGTGATGTTCCTATCACTTGCATCTCACCACTATGATCCTGGACACACAGTACTAAAGCCTTAATTAATGGAAAATAGGAACACAAAACACAAGCCAGGAAGATGAAACTGAATGCATTATGTTATTTTGGTACATGGAGAAGATTTTATTAGATTAAAGGTACAGAGGTTGCCTGGCCACAAAATTATGCAGGTTTAACTATAGAAGAGTTTTGAAAAACACTGTATTTTGTAAAATGTCAGCTTTTATTTTCTTTTTAATGGCTATATGAAGTCTATAGTGATCGAAGGATGGATTTATAAGCTTTATTGCTTACAATGGAACATCCTGAAAATAAACTATAAAAAGGGTGTAAAAATTAAAATATTTGCTGTAAAAGAAACTTTTGTAGAGCACGGGGATGTTAGCTTTTGTAACATCCTTTTTTAATTAAAAAAAAAAAAAAATTCCAAACAGCTTAACACACAGATAAAATACAGCTATGAAAGGGTTTAACCCACCAATAGATTTTTATTTCTGCCCACCCATTTCAGAAAATGATGCAAATCTGCCACACAGCACAGAACATTCACTTAGCCAAGTGCACACTATTTCTATAGTAAATCAACCCTAATGGATAAGAATGACAGCAATAACAACTAACAGTTGTAGGACAAAAGGTCATCTACATGGTTTTCTCAGTGTCCTTTAAATAAATCTTTCCCGAATCAGGGTTTTTTAAAACTTTAAAATGGCTGATAGGTTCACTTTAAGTGCATTAAAGTAGACTGAACAATAGAATACATTATAAAACAAGAAACTCTAGGCTTAGGTACAATCAGTTGCTGACACTAAATAAGCTCCTGATACTAACCCCAAGCAAACAATAATACATAACAGTACAGCACTAGCCCCCAAAGTATACAATATAAATAAATACATAAATCAAAGAGATGAACATGCAAAAAAATAGCGTTCAATGTGAACAATATAGTCCCAGAATGTGTCCAATAGTGTAAGGTGTTTACTGCTTAATATTAAAAAAAAATATATATATACGTCTAGCAAGACCGAGAAGATAACTCCTCAAGAAATTTTGCAGTGTTGAAAAGTCTTCTTACAGTCACCCAGTGCATACACTGTTGCCTTATCCACCAGTAAATAGCAGGGTCATCTTAAAAGCATCATGGGCCCCTGGGCAAAGTAATGCAGCGGGGCCCCCTACTAGCCTGCCCCAATTTACGCACCTACTCTCAAGAATTAAAGTGTATCAGGAGGGCACAGTACAGGGACACGGCCATCACAGGACAGCTTAGTAAAAAGTGTGACTGTCCAGGCAAATCCGGGACAGTTTGTCAACTATGATGTAATGCAAGATTATCATAGGACCACATGTTCCTGGGGCCCTTGGGCAGTGCCCAGGAGTGCCCATGCATTAACCTCCTTGGCGGTATTCCCGAGTGTAGCTCGGGGTAACATTTCAGTACCAAAAGCGGTAACCCCGAGCTACACTCGGGAATACCATGCGGCGCTGCTCCGGCATGTGTTCTTCACTTACCTTACCCTGCGCTCCCACGATGTGTCCCCTGCAGCGTCCCCGGCCATCTCCTCCGGCCGATGCCGGCATCCGGCTTCTGTGTCCTGTCCCTGTGACGTCGGGACGTACGGGCGCCGCCGCCGGCGGCGGCGGGAAATTTAAAAATTTTAAAAAAATGTCATTTTTTTTTTTTTTCATTTTACACAGTAAAACATTGCTGTTTCAACCCAATTTCACATACATATTGTCCCTAGTGCTTTGTCCTGCGCCCTGCCTGCATTTTGTCTGTTCTTTCTGCCTGGAAACTGAGAAATGTCCATGGCGTCCAAAAAGTGTCCCTTTAGGTCAAAAGCGGTTTAGATCAGCTAGAGAACAGCGATAGTAAATCAGAACCACTTACAGAATTGAGTGATAATGATTCGTGGGGGAAATTCGTCATCAGAAACTGAAAACGATTTTGCGACTGAGCTCAGCAATGTGCGAACTTGGCGCTCTATTTCACATTTCAGTGTTTTTGGTTTGATTATATTATTGAATTAAATTTTTTATTATTTTTATATTATTTTTATGATTATTTATTAAATTATAATTTATGATTTTGTGTTTCAAATTTTATCATACCCGGGATGTTTACTAGACTCTTGTTCGGACAGATTTCAGTGAGTTTTTCCTAAAAATTACAGCCTACAATAAAAAAAATACATATTTCCATGCAAAAAAATGGTACCGCTTTCAGCACCAAAAATCTGAAATAATCATACCGCCAGGGAGGTTAAGAAAACCCTGGTGAAAATTGCAAAATAGATCAGCAGCTTACCAGATGGTATAGACAATCACTTTTACAGTAAATGGTTAAACAGCGCTTTAGGGTTAATCTGGTCACCCTCAGCCAATAGACCACAAGTACTCTGGACTCCTCCACAATGTCTCTCAAAAGTAAAAAAAAAAGGGTCCATCCACGAGTGTAAAGCTGTATAATAAACTTTATTAGGCATAAAAAGATGTACACTCACATTAGCTTGCAGCCGAAGCCAGCCATATAGCGCACAACAAACAGAATGTGCAATGGTCCTGTGAGCTGCTCCAGGTCCATGGAATGCACTGGGTAGGAAGAAGGCTTTTCAGCACTGTGCTATTTCTTGAGTTGTCTTCTTGGTTTGGCTGGACTTATTATTATTTTGATATTTTTTTGTTTATATTAAAGTGCTACTAAACCCACAAGAGTAAAATCAGTCTGTATATGCAGTACAGCATGCTTGTTATACTCACGGTGGAACCTGAGGGGTTAATCCTCTGCAATGTGTAAAAAGGTTGCTTGATCCTGACTCTTGTTTGAATGCCCACGTCTTATCTCCTGGTAAGAAAGACTGAACCTGTAGCCCTTCTGCATATGCTCAGTTTATTGTGTATTGCTAGAGAGGTTTTATTTTCTTGGGAGAGTGCATGTGATCAGCACAGGGCCAATCAGCACTGTTCAGACAGAGCTCAGAGGTTTTGCATCCTCTTAGAGCAGAAAGAAAACTCCTCCTACAAGCTTTAACCAGTGCTCTGCTGAACACTGATAGAAGTCACAAGACTGCTCTAACTGCTGATGAGAAAAGGTATTTAGCAGTTTACATCTATTAAAATAGTTGCATTTCCATGTTCTGTGTACTGTGGGAGACCAGATATAGTGAATGCAGGGTCCTGGGTTTAGTAACACTTTAAAGAGTAAACACTTGCACCAGCACTATTGAACATTTTATATTTTCCTCCTGGGGCTATATTTTTCACATTGAATGCTGTATTGTTTTGCATGTTTATCTCTTTGATATATTTGATTATTTGTATTGTATACTTTGAGGGTTAGTGCTGCACTGTTATGTATTATAATCAAAATACATTCTAGGTTCTTCTAGATAAATTCTTATTGGTTAGTTGGTGTTAAGCTGGCCATACTTGGATCGAAATTTGGCCGGTTCAGCAAGAACCAGCCAAATTTTAATCCATCTATGGCTGTTTCTGTTCATGAAAAGTCAATCTATAGATCGACTTCTCTTGTTCTAATGAAAATTTCCTTTCATTCAATGCTTGTAGCCAATCAGTTGCGGCTGATCAGTGTATTCTAACAGCAGAGGAGTCCCGCTGTCAGAATACAGTGACACACCGGGGAGGATTCCTCCATTCACAACAAATGTGTGGATGGGGGAATCAGGTCATTTTTTTTTATTCAACCCTCTGGCTGAACAGAAAAACTAACCCATGTTTGGCCAGCTTTAGCTCAGTGTAGAATTAGCCTGGTGCTCTCTGTAGTCTTTATTAAATAAAGCCACAAGTAAGAGGCATTAGGATATATCCTTCTCTAACAACAACTGACCTTCTTTTAAAGAACAGTTGATGGCAGATGTCCAATGCTGTTATCTGAACTCATTTGCATGCAGATTGGCTCTAGTTAGATGTTACATTGTCCAGTGCTAATGTCATCCCAGTGGTCTAAAGTGGTCAGTATTGTATCTAATCACTAATCTAAGCACGGGGATGTCATTGTCCTCCTACTAGGTCACACATGGCAGCAGATTAATGTGTATCTAATTAAGAACACAGATGTAACATATGGCAATTTACCAGTCCTCAGAATCAGTCGCTGCATTAGTTTTCCATTTTGCAGGCTTTTTTCCCTTTATTCAAAAGAATCATGTAGGCAGAATCCTGGCATTTAGAAGGTATTTCCAGAGTAACTGGAAAACTTTTTTTTTCTGCCAAACGTTTGGTTTTCCCAGTTACCTGTGTCTGTCTGCATCTGCAAGGGCTAATACAGTTTTACAATATCTCATAGAAGTGAGTACACCCTTCACATTTTTGTAAATATTTTATTATATCTTTTCATGAGACAACACTGAAGAAATGTCACTTTGCTACAATGTAAAGTAGCGAGTGTACAGCTTGTATAACAGTTTGATTT